CTCTCTCTCTCTCTCTCTCTCTCTCTCTCTCTCTCTCTCTCTCTCTCTCTCTCTCTCTCTCTCTCTCTCTCTCTCTCTTCCACGCTGTTCTCCACATTCGTAATCTTCCCTCCCGCCCCCATGCTCTTCCCCTCTTCACTTTCGCATTCTCTCCCACCTCTCCCACACTTTTGCCACCCTTACCCCGACAACACTCTCCTTCCACCCAAACCTACCCCATTCCATCCCCCCATCATCATCATCATCAGCATCATCATCAGCAGCAGCAGTAGCAACAGCGGCATCTGAGCTTCTTCATTGTGGACACTGGCGAGGACAGTAGAGGCTATGATGCTGCATGTCCACTCACGCAAATCAGGGGCAGTGACACAGAAGTTCTTCACCCCCACCCCTGAAAAAACAAGGCAGAAGAAAAGCAGAACCACTCTGAAGCGGAAAATTGTATATTTCCGAATGGATTTCAGGGAGGAGAAGGGAGTTTTTGACATCCATTTAATCATGAATGATAAATGGCATTTGTATGATAGAGTCAGATAGACAGGAGTTCAAGTATTCCATTCATTTCAGTATGTTCATTACGTCGCATCATCTTAACGTGTCAATTCAAGGGTCAATCCACCAAAAAGCTTGCACCCTTGTGCAAACTAAAACTCCGACAACACCAGCTCCCTCCCTCCTGCTGCTGCTCCTACCAGATCAGTGATTGTTCAAAGGTACCCCTTCCCCTTGCTGACAACGCCAGCTCCCCTCTCTCCTCCTCCTGCCAGTGGCAAAAAGGTACCCTCTTCCCCTTGCTGACAACACCAGCTCCCTCCGTCCTGCTGCTGCTCCTCCTGCTGCTCCTGCTGCTCCTCCTCCTGCTGCTGCTCCTGCTGCTCCTCCTCCTGCTGCTGCTCCTGCTGCTCCTACCAGATCAGTGATTGGTCAAAGGTATCCCTTCCCCTTGCTGACAATGGCGGCTCCCCTCCCTCCTCCTCCTCCTCCGGCTTCTTCTCCTGCCACATCTCGGAATCAGTCTATTACTGAGCGTTTCTCTCGGCACACGTCTAGCTAGGAGGACTCGTCTCTCGCCGTTGCCGATAATCTCTCTCTCTTCCATCTCCAGACCCTAGACCACGATTCATGAACATGTGGGGGGGGTGTCCTCTACACTGTCTACAACACAATTCGTAGGAAGCACAAGCTCATAGAGAGACTAAGTCATCAAACTACCGTCTTCACCCGAATAGCCGAGCGTTCTATTCGGGTGCGCGGATTCGTAGGAAGCACAAGCCGAATAGAAGTCTCTCGGTAATTATCCCTGCATCTGCACAGAAAATTGTCCAAAATACGGCTATAATGACAGGGTGTTATATTCGGGTGAAGACGATAGTGCCGTAAATTATCAGGTTTGCGAAATGAACAAAACAAGGGCACATACTTTCCCAGGCTATCTAGTGCCCCGTGGATTCTCAAGTGCCGGGCTCGATGTTTGACATCAAGGAGTAAACAGTTTACATAAACTACAGCATTTCTCTAATAACAAGCAATACACAAGGATGACAATGGATCCATGAAAAGGTACACGACTCCAAGTCATTCCAAAGCCTCGAAAGACACTCGGAAATCCAGAAATTTCAAAACTGAAACAAAGAAAAACAAAGGGAGTGAGTAGAACATGGTTGTCCAATTGGAGTCAGAAAAAAGACGAAAGCGAAGCACCGATGCCAGAGGTCAAGGAAAGGAGGGGGCAAAAAAGAAAGGAGCACCATGAATTAAGGACGCGTGCGCCGTGCCGGCACTTTCTAGACTGAATCTGGCCATAATCGTGGAGAGATGCATCCAGAAATAACCCTGTTGGGAGCACGCACTATGGAAGCTGAAAGGAGGAGAAAAGAAACAGCGGAGGACGACCAAAACAGGTGGAAAGAGGAGAGAGTGGGAGGGAAATGCAGAGCGCCAAAAGCACAAAAGTGGCATTACGACAAGTTCCCTCCTCTCCTTGACGGTCACACACCTCCCAAATACACCTCCCAACTACATTACTGTGACAAAGGGATGCCAGCCAGCAGGGATAACAGCTTGGAAACTGGCAAAAAGCATTCATAGTATTTTCATAGTATTTCATAGTATTTTCATAGTATTTCATACGATTCAGACCATTCGAAGGTGCCAAAAATAACTTCATTCGCAAAGTAGGACGGTTGTGAATTTGTAATAACAAACCTGTTCGTACGCTTCTTTCGATCGATCCACCTTTTCCCTCAGCTGCACCACCTGCAACCACTCTGTCAAACCACCCTTTTGGGCTTCTGTTCGTGCATTCACGGCAGCAGCCTCTGTTGCCTCTGCCTCTGCATGCAGTGCTCGAACTTCCGCAATTTTCTGCCTCAAAAGATCCTGCAAGTGTCAGAAATGAGCAAAACTCCAAGACCTGTGCCTTTCAGACATAGCACGGTGTAAAACATAGCCAATAGCTCCTTTCAAGATATCGTGCACGCTTTGTCAGACTTTGAAAAAGACCTGCTGAAATTTCAATGACCACTTCCTCACTCATACATTAAGCATAAAAATATGAGGTTGTGCAC